TCATTCCCATGGAATTTATGATCAAGCCGCTTTGCCTGTGGCATGTTATAAAGGTACAGTGACTTGAGGTGGGGAAGCTGCCCAAGAGGTGGAAGAGTTTCCCACTCCGAGCAACCGTTCAGACTGATGTACTCCAAATTGGAGATCAAATCTGCATTGTACATCCATTTTGCAGAGCTTACACCCTTGTATGAAACTATGGACAATCTCATTAGATTTTTGTATGGTTTAAGATTTTCAAGCACATTCACATCTAAGTCTGAATTGACAGTCTTCCGTAGGCTTCCAAATTCCTCATTCCGTTCATCAACGGTATTGCCCCAATTCAAGTATAAATCTGTGAGTTTCCTCTTCTCAAATAATTTTGCTTTGCGAGCCTCTTTAGCATCCTTCACATTTTCCAGAAAATGTATTTTTAATTTGCGCAACTCGCTCATATGTTCCAACTCCCCAATTCTATAACCATTCTCATTCTTAACATTAAACTCATGTAGTTCTTGAAGTGATCTTAATTTCCCAATTCCAGGTACACTAGAAAATACTTTATGGTGCAATTCCAAGTGACGCAGGTTAGAAAGATTGCCCACATCGTATGGTAAGAAATTTTCAGACCAAGATCCCCAAAATAACTGGTTATAGATTATGAACCGCAAATGATAAAGACTGCTTAGAGACCGTGGCATATGAGTGAGATGTGCAGTAAGATTCAAATATCGAAGATGTCTCAAATTTTCAAATGATAAAGACTGCGTAGGGATCGTGGCATATGGAGAGTATATGAACAACAAACGAATCCTTCTCAATACTTCAAAAATTTCAGTAAGTATATTAATAAAATCCAGATCATGGACTCTCAAAAAAAGCGAATGTAGATTTTTAACATCTTTGATCATTCTCACCACTTCTGGATTTCCAGTTTTAACAAATAAGTGCCGAACATTTTTAGGAACTTTAAAAGATAAACCATCTTCTCCCACAAATCCGAAACATTCCTCTGAAGAAATTGACTGTGCCAAATCATGTAATAAATCATGCATCTTATAGTATATTCCCGTATAACCCTGAAACTCATCAAAGAAAGACTTTCTGACCAAAACATCAAAATGCCTTCCTCCAATATCTTCCAAAGTCTCTCCTTCAATAGAAGATTCCTGAATGAAACCCAGTGCAATCCACATTCGGACTAAATCATCTTTATGAAACCAATGATCTTCTGGGAATATGCCACAAAATGTAAAACAATTTTGTAGAGGTTGTGGGAGGAATGTAAAGCTCAATATGAAGATAGGCAAAATGTTATTGCGACTCGGTTCTGATTCTACAGTTAGAACATTACTTTCTAAAATTTTCATCCAAAAGCTCTCATTCAAGTTAGAATTGAGAACACCACCAATGACCTTTGCTGTCAATGGACAGCCTGAAAGCTTTTCAACTATCGAACTAGCAATGTTTGTTAATTTTTTATGAGCACCAAGGTTCTCTACAC